GAAAGACTCAAATTCAGAACATTCTTGAGGAATCCAAATGAGGGAGAACTAGGGGAGGTCATAGATCCGGAGGCGAACCTCGGTGACTTCCCAATTTATCCTATGGTTTGACTTCAGTTTCGAGGAGAAATTATTTGAGTGTTTCAATCTGCCAATTTTATTTAATTAGACTTATTTTTGCGTGACACGGTCACATGAATCGCCTGGAAGATATGAGGATTTATGTCGTATCGGACGACAACCTCGGAACCTAGAACGAGTTAGGGCTTAAATTACACAGTCTGGCTGTGCAAAGGCCTAAAAGATAAAGTGAGGATTTATGTCGCGCTAAACAGATTACCTCGAAATCTTATGGCATGTTGTTTAATTCTAAGGAAAAGTTTTGTTGATGTAGACATGTTTTGTTGTTGAAGATGACCGTGCTGCCCACCGCATTTGCTCCAAGCTCTTCGTCATTGCAGCGTCGAATTTAATATTCAAGTTGTTTAAGGTTGAAATAATGTAAAAAGTGAGGTCACCAATTTATCGTGGGTACCATTTAGGAGCTACTACTGACATCCTAATCTAGGGGAGAGTGTAAAAGAAAAGCATGTTAATGTGCAATGAAATCATGCAGTGGTAATGTGAAAACTATACATCCGGCAGAAGAATATACACTGAAAGATAGCATAAGCAAACTACACTGGGCAGGTGTGTGTGTGTAATGTGTATAGGAGAAACGAAATAAAAGAATCAGAAAGTCGGAAAAGGTCGAAATGGAACATTCCCTAATAAATCCGAAACAAAATAAAGTTCGTAGGAAATCCGAATAAATCCATAGAGGTAAACTTATAGAAAATTCGAAAGAAAGAGCAAAAACGAAAAAAACACCAGAATGGACTACAAGTTCAAAAAGACCGTAAGCTTGGTGGTGAGGAGGACTCGGAGCTGTGCTGTAGACTACAACCTTAAGTACTGACTACTAGACCGACTTTCTGCAGAAGGCAACCCTAATCCGATTCAAGTAGCCAACCGTGGACCTTTGTAAAATTTTTAATACATTTCAGTCTGGATCTGCATGCAAGTAAAAGTCATAGGTAAATAGGTTGTTTTGTAGTGGAGGTGATTTTTGTATTTTTCAAATGTATTTATATATATATATATATATATATATATATAATAGTTTTTTTAAATAATTCGATCCACAAGTCGAATACTCTAGTCGAACTAGGACTGCTAGCAACTTTAGATTGCCGGCGGGAG